GTTGCTTTTCTGTAACTGTTGTTCAGTTTAACTGTTCGAAAAAACTGGTTAATTATAAGCTTTCTTGTGCTATTTTCATCTTTTTACATTTAAAAATTTGTTTAAATTCTGCATCGTATCAATACAGGATGTGACATTTTCTTAATGCGATGACTCATCGGTGTCTCATAATTATTTATGAGACTGCATGCTCTTATCCAATGAGAAAACGCTTGGTTACACTTTATTTCGATAGTCCACTTTAGACATTCTACTAACTATAAGTAACTTTGTAACTACATGTCAACTACATGTCAACTAATTCTCATTAATTTGCAACTACATGTCTACTAACTCTCAGAGTAGACTGTTAGGGTAGGTTTAGGGTTAGTAGAATAAGTTGACAAAGAAAGTGTTAGAAGATATTAAGCAGACAGTCTACTAATACTCTACTAACTGCTAGTTGACATGTAGTTGCAAAGTTACTTACTGTTAATAGAATGTCTAAAGTGGACTATCGAAATGAAGTGTTACCAAACGCTTTACTAAATTATTCCTGACAGTGCATGACAGACACTTTAAAATGTGAGGCTGCATACACTAGTGAAAGACGTGTTCATGGATCAAAAGTGAGTGTTTGTTTTCATCATCACTTTGTAAGTGTTTCTGAGTGGCATACTTTTTTTCCATATACCACCGAGTCTCTGACACAAACACAATATGAAAAATATAGTAAAAACAGTACTTTTGTGAAGTATTCTTAAAATTTAAAGTAGCCGTGTTCTATTTGATTATATTTTAAAATATTTTTTTTTCCTGTGATTGTAAAAGCTGTATTTTCAGCATCATTACTCCAGTCTTCAGTGTCACACGATCCTTCAGAAATCAAAATCAAAATAATATTTTTCACTACTATTCAAAAGTTTGGGGTAAGAAAGATTTAAATTTGTTTTTTTGATTTTTTATTAATACTTTTATTCGCCAGCATTAAATTAATCAAGTGACAGTAAATACATTTATAATTTTACAAAAGAATGCTGTTATTTTGAACTTTTTATTCATCAAAGAATCCTGAAAAAATTTATAATGGTTTCCCCAAAAATATCATGCAGAAAAAAACTCTTTTCAACACTGATAATAATAAGAACCATTTTATATTGTGATAATAATGTGACAGTATTACTGTTTTTATTGTATTTTTGATAAAAGAAATGCTGCATTGGTGCGCATATGATCCTTCTTCCAAAACAATTAAAAAAACCTTAATTATTCCAAACAGTTGACAGTAGTGTATATAAAACACAAAACCTTTAATTTCCTAAATTTCTAATTCACAATGTCCTCACAGAGCAAATCGTTTCCTTCCTACTGGACGAGAATCAGGGTTAGTAACCTTTAGGGTGAACCACAGATTGTCGGTAGTTGTTTGTTCCAGATGACAATTATACTTATCAACCATACAGTCAAAGCTCGTTCACAGATGTCTAGAGCCACATCCAAGAATCAGCATATTTCATCTTACCCGCAACATTCATTCCATTCTGTTTGTTTACCAGTGGGAGAAACAAAGGTTGGACGAGCTGAATGTTTGCTCGTGTTTAAAGCTTGTTGCCAAATGTCTTCATCAGCCCCACTGTGAAATTACATTACACAGTCAGTGAATATTAATTGATGACATTTGGTACTGGACAAACAAAGTAAGTGAGAGATGTGTGTGTGTTTGAGAGGTCCTGGAATAATAGTGTGTTGAACGAGAGATCCGTGATCTCTGGAGCACAGTTGAAAGCGAGCTGGATTGTAACAGATGTTTTCTCCTGGGAAATAGAAAGTGTGTGGCTCTTTTTGTCTGGCGTGTGGGTGTTGGACAGGAGCGTAAGCTACAAGAGGTGTGTATGTAAATGTGAGTTTGTGTGTGCGTGGCTTGAAAGTTTTTTTTTTTGTGATTTGTTTAGATGTGGGTGCTTCACCTCTCGGATGTTTGTCTGTGGGAAAATGTACCCAGCCGTGCATCTGTCTGCACTTTAAGGGGTCGTACACACTCTGGATGCTTTCTTGCGTTTAACAGCAGTTAGACGAGTGCAATGGAATGGAACATCTCAAGGTCTTGAGACATTTTAACAGCTTGTCACTACTAGTTATCCACTAGTTAATTAAGACATAAATGTTACAACAGTTTCTGTAAACACTCAATACTCTCAAGGTGCTCCCACTGCTTCTTTTGATTGATTCATTGATTTAAAACTAACATTGAAGGACTGCATAAACATTTTTTTTGACATGCTGTTTTAAGCCTATTATGTATATGTGTGTCAACATTTTTTGCTATAATTTTCTCATGAAGTGGCCTTTTCATGTGATATTTCAGGAATTTCTCAATTATTGCCTTCTTTTTTAATTGTTAAGGCCATATGATCAGATGTTTACACATTCACATTTAGTTTGCTGTTTTATATTAAAATAGAGTTTTAATACCCCAAACTTTAATAGAATATATATAAATTTTCTCATGAAGTGGCCTTTTCATGTGATATTTCAGGAATTTCTCAATTATTGCCTTCTTTTTTAATTGTTAAGGCCATATGATCAGATGTTTACACATTCACATTTAGTTTGCTGTTTTATATTAAAATAGAGTTTTAATACCCCAAACTTTAATAGAATATATATA